CTATGGGGAACTCTGGAGGTGTCCTGAGATAGTTGGATCTTTGTATCCTCTCCCCATCTGTAACTTGATGTGTATGCCTATGAGAATAGCCCTAACTTTGAACCTGACAGCTCCATGGCACCCTGAAAGGTCTTCTCTGAAAGAGTCAGGCAACAAGCTCCTCCCTGAAGGATGAACTGGTGACACAGATCACAGATCTAGTGTAGAGTCACTACACTAATGCCACTTCATTCATTTTAAGGGCACATGTGTGGCTATTGCAAATGCTCTATTCCACAGCAACAGGAAATTCCACCCCAGCCATATTGAGGGTCCTGGAGACAAAATTATTGGACTGGAGTAGGCTATGATAAACACTTGCTCGAATGTTATGTGCTGTGGGAAATAACCCTGCAGAGGACTGGGGCTCAGGGTTGATGGCAACAGTGTTAGACACTTCTCATACAGCAGGAAGGCTCTCCACCTTATGAAGCACATAGTCTCCACCACACTGTTTAAGGATGACACATGTAAGAGAAACAAGGCAGGCCTGTGAGGTCATACCATAGGAGTGAAAAGTAATGAGTTATCTATAGAAGTTCTAGACCCATTAATGTGGACTCAGAGAGCTTATTAGCATGTGAAGCCAACTAAAGAAACCAGTGGTCTCAGGACCTCATATGTACTTAATGGGATTGACCTTGACTAAAAATCCAAATGGTTTCACCAGAATGATATTCAAAAATGCAAATTCCAGTCTCTACTCCCCTTCAAAAATATTTATCTTCTAAGGGTAGATGCCTGCCATCTGTGCATGCCCAAAATCTTTCTACCATAATTCCCATACTCTGCCCAGGGTCTTGCAGGGTAATTCCCAGCCTTCCAATCTAGAACAATCAAATAAAACAACAGAAACCTTGTTGCCTGAGTCTTTGTAAGTCAGGACCTATCTGTATTCTCTAGAAGTCCAGCATAAAAAGCACATCTAAACAGTCACTCTAATTCTCACCCTTCTGCAATCTAGAACTCTGGGGCTCCAGGGACCTCACTTAGTAGGAGTAACAACTTTCTTAGTCAGGCTAATAAAGGGGATCCATCACCCATTGAACCTGAGCCTTTTTTTTTTTTTCGTCTTCATCTCATCATGACTTCTGTTCTACAGTCTTAACAGATCACTTCCATTTGCAAGTACACCCTACAACTTTGGGTTTCCCACAGCCATTTGTTTACCTTTGCCTTCAGTGTGTCTCATCAAGAGTTTATCTGCCAGGAAAATGCCTGTAAATCTCTCACCGATACCTCTTCCCATTTCATGGATGATCATTTTAAGAGCCTCTTAGCATGCGTGGCCTACCCTTTCCATATATATAAGCATCTCCCATTATGACCGAGGCAATCTATAATTTTGATGAGGTGCATACCAAAGTGAGTTGCCCAGGCTTTTTCCTTCCCTCCACCCACAATATCCACCAGGACTTCACATCAGCCAAACCTACTAAGAAGCTGATTAGCAAAGGGAGCCTGAGCTAATATGGTTGGTTGAGCCAGGCCAGTGGCCACACAGAGCAGTCAGACGAGACAAGAAGGGATCTAGGGATGACGGAGAAAATATGATCATGCCACAGATCTTATAGATGTCAGTGAGACTAAAAGGAATAGATGGCTCTATAGTAATAAAAAGACAGACAGAGGTCACACTTTGTCATTCTCTGTCGATAAGTAACAGATTTCCTCCCTTTTCTTCAGAGTCTAAGTCATGAACAACTAAATCTATGTATCTATCTGTACATAAGTTTTCATGATGGAAAATAATTCAGATGAATGGAAGAAAAAAGTACCCTGGAAGGCTGAGACAAGAGGATAGCAGGTTGGGCTACAGAGTGAGCTGAAGGCTGGCCTAGGCAACTTGGTGCAACCCTGTCTCAAAATAAAGAAAAGAAATTAATAATAGGCTGGGTCTACAGTTCAGTGGAAGGCCCTAGGTTTAATTCCTAGTATTGCAAAAGAAAAATGATGTGACAACCCTGCCACTGTAAATACAGGAACTGAGTGATTCATCATGTTATAGAAGTCAGGCCCATAGACAGAAGACACAGTTGGAGGTGGGATCCAACCGTTCCTACACATTCTCACAGCCCTGCTACGATAAAATATGCACATGACACAGCCCTGCTCTAACACTGATAGATTCAGTCCTCAAGGTTGAGGAAGAATGAGAGGAACTGCTATTCTTGACTTACTTCCAATGAACAGAGAGGAACCTATTGTAGAAGCAGAAGCAATGGGCCTTGGGAGGGGTAATTCTTACCTCATTGCTATATTCCCGATAGCTGAGAATGAGAAACCTAGTAAGGCTAGGAACTTTTTTTTTTTTTGTGCAGGGATGGGGTGACAGGGGACAGGGTCATACTACATAGCCTTGACTGGCCTGGAACTCATTTTATAGACCAAGCTGGCCTTGAACTCACAGAAATCCACCTGCCCCTGCCTCCTGAATGCTGGTATCAGGCTAGGAATTTGTTTATAAGCAGAGATTTCAAGAAGTTTAAGGGAGCTGGAGTCTGTCGAAAGTTTCTCTCTCATCAGGCAGAATGAGAGGTTTTGGCCACAAACACAAATAAGCAAAGGAAGAAGCATCACAGTCAGCTGATGTGTTTGCACAGACAACAACACAATGAACCCACAGTCTGAAAGAACAGTAAGGGTTCCTGAGGCACAGGGGGACCCCAAACAGTATAGTGGATCTACATGAAAATGTCTGGAAAAGAAATACTCAGGTAAGGGTATTTTACAGACAAAACAAAGCTTACTAAAACTGCAAAACAATTTTGTAAAGATGCTTTTTGGAACATGATCAGGTCAGTGGCAGCAGAACTAGGAAAAGTGAATCTAAAACACTTTGTTCATTACTGTTTAATTTCTGTAAGATGATCAAATAAAGACTGTAAGACTGAAGGAAACTAGAATTACTAATTAGCTTGAATCCTAACATCCAAATCAGTTGTCACAGGAAATCTGGATGCTCTATAGGCATTTCCATAGGATTTTCTACAGGCGTTTCCACAGGATGGTCTATGGACATTTCCATAGGATGCTCTGTGGGTATTTACACAGGGTGCTTGCTCTATGGGTATTTCCACAGGATGCTCTAAATGGCATTTCCACAGGATGCTCTATGGGCATTTTCATAGCCATTCTGGAGGAATCACATGCCAAGCTATGGTTAAAAAGAAAATGGATGTGAGATTACTTGTGATATCCTCTAAGCATTCAAGAGAATTGAATTGGTGCTGGACAAAGCTGGTACAAATGCTAGGACTTCAACTCAGGCTGATGTAGAAGAAAGGTTCAAGGCCAGCCAGGCTACACAGTGAGCTCCAGGCAAGTCTGAACTTTATAATGAGAATCTAGCTTAGAAATACCCCAGAATAAGCCCATACAATAGAAAGGGGGATCCAAATGTAGGAAATCTGAGGTTTAGTCCATTTTAGAAATTCAGTTCACTTTTAGAAATTTTGTGAGAAAGAACACAACATTACCAATGTGAAATACTCACAGGCCTCAGCAAGGGCACTGGAAAAGTAAAGGGCCTAGATACAACTTACATCTACACCTGCCTGCATTTTAATTTGCTGTTATCATTAGAAGACTGTACCATTGTTTATTTTTAAAAAATAAATGCACCTAATTTATCTAAAAAAATGCTCAAACCACAGTTTTATATGCTGGGTGTCTGTATTCTAAACCTAGAGTTGGTACACCTAAAACCACCTCATGTTCTACCAATGAAAAATGTAATAAGGGGTCTCAGAAACTCAAGGTTCTACCCTAAGCTCTGTTCTCCTGCAAAGGACAGGAAGAGGCCACTAGGATGGACCCCAGTGAAGGCCCTGAAATAAGACCTCATTTAGAGGGCTGGAGAGATGGCTCAGCAGTTAAAAGCAATAAATGTTCTTGCAGAGGACCCTGGTTTGGTTCCAGAATCCATATGGCAGCTAATAGCCATGCATAACTCCAGTTCCAAGGGATCAAATGCCCTCTTATGACCTCTGGGGGCATTTCATGACACAGATACACTTACATACATGCAGGCGATACACTCATACATATAAAATTAAAAAAAATACATAAAATATTTTTTGGAAAGTCCTCACACAGGCCCAGCTTTTAAAGCATTTTTGTACATGCACTAACTCAGCTTATAGTCTGCACCGGCTCTCAGAGTAAGTGTGGAGGGAGCAGAGCAGTCTTGCCAACACACAGTCAGTTTCATTCAGAGGTCAAATTGCCATTCGGTGAAGTGCGAACTTGACTCAGCCTTCAGATTTCAGTGCGAGAATATTTTCACCACTTTGTGTTTTCCTCCATGTCCCCACAAGTGAACTTTGACTTTAACATAAGAATCTCAACAATCATCAACCTCTTTTTACTACAGTTTGGATTAACTGTTAAGACAGAGAAGTGTCTATCCCAGGACATACCTGTGACTGAGCAGTCACTCGGTGCCTTAATCTCCTCATCCAGAAAAATAATATTCAATGAAATAATCTAAGGAGAAACACTTCCATAGAGTGCAATGCCTAGAATATGGTAAGAATAAATATTAGGTGTTCTGATGATTATTCTTAGACATTTTTAGAATTCTTTTTGAGACAGGGTCTTCTTGTAGCCCCAGCTAGCCTGGCACTCACTATGAAGAACAGGCTGGTCTCGATTTCACAGAGATCTTCCTGCCTCTACCTCCCAAGTGTTGGGATTAAAGGTGTGTGCCACCACACTTGACTAGAATTATTTTTATAAACTTGGTCTACTATATAGTTAGGCCAAGATGATAAAAGATATTCATATAATGTAATTACCATCTTCTTTTACAGAGTACACTATGAAAAAAAAAATAGCATATTAAATGCATGCAAAGCACTCTGCAAGTTAAACCACAGTTTAAAATGTGAACTGAGAGGCACATGTTAACATGAGCAGGAATGAGTGACCAAGAATAAATAAAACTTGGCTCTGCTCACCCAAATCAACGTCTTGGTGCTTGAGCATCCAGGTATGTAGATGTGTGTGGGTCATCAGTGTAAGCCAGCAGACACCTGTTGCACATGAGGGAATAAGCATCATTAGTAGAGGCAATACCAGTGCTCTACATGACTGCAATTCCAACACCTGATTGATAAAAATGGAGGCCCTTGGAGAGGATCATGGGAGAGAGGCCCCCAAGACAGAGTGCTTTAAGGATGGAACAGAGCTACTAGTGTAGTCTGTTCTTGGCTTCTGTATTCCTCACTCCTCCCTCTCTTCATATAAACATTGGCTCTTCCATCAGTTCCATTGATTTAGTTCCTGAACATTCTTCTCATTCTTTGGATTCACCTATTAAAAATTCATTTACAGGCTTTAGGAAAACACCTCCATTGGTCAAATCTATGCAGGTCTCACTTTATTCCTTCAGTCTCAGAAAGCAGGTTAACCCCTCCTACATCGACCCAGCACCATGTCTAGTCTGTAAGTCTCTCAGGAAGTTCATACCACTGATTCATCTAAAAATAAATTATACTTGGGTCCATCCTAAAGGGTAAAACACAGCCTAGAGAATGGATTTCATAAACCTGAAGATTCTGGAGCCCATAATCCTTTCTAGCCTGAAAATACCCTCTAAGAAGCCACGGAAATTAAATGAGCCAGTGCTAATCCTTGTGTAATGAATTCTTATAATTTGACATTGCTGTGGCATACATTTTGAATATAATATGGGCTTTCGCCTACCAAGAGCAGGGCTCTGTCACCTTTGACACAGTTTCCAACTGTTCACCAACTCTTAGTTCCTTAATGTGGTTGATTTAGACATCTGCCTTCTATCACTGCCTCCTGGAGACCATTTCCCTATGGGACAGTAAAATGCAACCCACTTGGTTCTTCTGACCATCACATCCTTACATGGGACTTTGCAGAGTCACTGTGTGACTTCCTGGAATTCCTGCCTCCTTGCTCTAAATCCGCTAATTAAAACTTTCATAGGATTGTTTGGATAACACTCTGAGCTGAATGAAGACCTAAACCCTCTCTGTCTCTGTCTCTGTCTCTCTCTCACACACTCTGTGATATCAGGGTGTGGTCTCCAGGCCTGGCATGTACCCCTAGGTCCCATGTACCCCTCAGGTCCTATAAGTAGTACGATGTTCATTTCTGTATTGTCTCTTTCCCCATCATTTGACAGGCTGTTCTCCATCACGGTAATCTTAGATTAAAAACCCAGTTCTCACCTTTTTGGTTTGACTTTCTTCAGTTTATGGACTAACAGGTAAAACATACCCACAATTCATTCAAATACTCTTCTATCAAAAAAATACTTCAGCTCTACAATACACCCAGCAGTCGACGAGAGACGACATACAAAAATACTGCATTCTATCCCCAGACACATACAAGAACACTGCTAAAAATTAAGACTGGTAGCCTGTGCAAGAGGAGCAGAGGAGGGCAAGCAGAAGTTCTTCCAGGGGAGAGCGGGAGAGCTTGACAAAGAAAGTAACCTCTGGGCAAGCCTAGGAGGATGGGTAAGCAGAAGAAGAGATGCCAGGCATGAGGAGCAGGGAAACAGCGCACAGTGAAAGAGCAAGTGCTCCAGGAAAAGCACAGATCCAATGTTGACACTATTGCAGGAACCTAGAGCATTCTGTGGAAGAAGATTTGAAGCGGACCAGGGGATACAGGATCATCTTGTTGGCCATATAAACACATTCAGGTTCCACACAATGGGTAATGATGAGGCCCAGCCCCACAGCAGGCTATATGATCACAGCACTGAGAAATAGTGACAAATAAAATTCTCAGGTTCTGCTATGACTTACCGAACCAAAAACCCAGAGTAGTGTTCACCATTGAATACTTCTGAGCAGGACAGTGACATGGTGAAAGTTCTATGTGAGATCTATTTAGAGGTACCAGATCTGATCAGATATGGGAGGTAAGAAGAGGAAAAAAGAGCCAAACATCGGGTTTCTCTCAGGAAACTGGGTGAATGACAACACAGCTCACAAAATTATGGAATCTGAGACAGCAGTGAGGGTGTTTGGAGAACCTCAGACCAGCTGAGGATGAGGAACCTGTGGGTCACCAGAGTGGAAGTGACTTAGGAGAAGGTTGGCTATGTAGAATGCAAGCACACAACTGACTGTGGAAACAGTTTGTAGGACATAAGGCCAGTAATGGATGAAATCCCCAGTGTGAAGCAAGACCTAGCTCACAAGAACTTATTGTTAAATACACAAGAATTTTGCTGGCTGGCTGGTAAATCCTCTGTGCAAGTTTTTTTTGGGGGGAGGTTTGTTTGTTTTTTGACTATGTAGAAATCAGCAAATGCTATAGGTCAGGCCTGCTTTCCTCACAGCCTAACGAGCTGGCTGCCTACACACAAACTTGAAAACTAAGGATAAATGTAAGTTCATAGGTTTCACCTCCAGACAAACCTTGGGATAGTTTTCACGGCCCTTACCTGACCCCACCAGGGCACATGGATGCAAGCGGGAAGTTAAAGAAACCCAGGAAAAAACATGCAGGTCTATAGCTGGTCCAGGAAGACTCAAATAGTCTGAAATTCAGTGGAAAGGTTGCATGAGAATAGGATGGATGAGGGAGACCCTTGGCAGCCTCGGCCCTCGCAGGGCCCAGATCAGTACACCTAGTCACACTCACGTTATTTCCTAAAATTTATTATTTTTTCACCTATTTATTTATTATTTATTTACTTATTTTATGTGCATGACTGTATTGCCTACATGTAAGTGTACCCGTATTATGCAATGCCCTTGGCGGACAGAGAGGCCATCAGATCCTCTTGAACTGGAGTTATGGATGGTTGTTAGCTGCCACATAGTGGCTGGGAATCAAACCTGGGTCTTTTGGAAGAACACCCAGTGCTCTTAACTGCTGAGCCATCTCTCCAGCCTCCTCCTTTTTCTTTTTTGAGACAGGCTTTTACTATGGAGTCACAGCTAGCTAGGCACTCGCTATGTAGACCATCCCAGGCTGGCCATCCTCCTCCCACAGCCTCCAGAGTGCTGGGATTAAAGGCACGTGCTACCACGCCAGGTATTATTGTTTTTTAGGAAGAGAAGCCACTGCTTAAAATTCTAAGCCTTAATTATCCACCTATGCAAAGTCTTTCAATGTAATCATGTTACTTCTTAAAGAAAGCAATGCCAATAAAAATAAAATCGTTTTAAATAAAAAAACAGAAACAACAACAACAACAAAATCTGAGCTTTGTATTACTTTACTTTTTGGTGCTAGGTTCCAGAAATGTCCTCCGTTCTGTGGCCAGGAATGTCAGAAGGGAGCTAGCATTTCTTATTTCCTCCTAAAGGAGAACCTATTGCCTGGAGGCTGTAGATGAGGGTGGGAATTGAAACTCCAGCTCGGACTTTAATAATTCCTTCTGGTGAACAGCTTTGGAATGGGATTTTCATGGCAAAAATGGATTATATTTATTCTCAATTTCAGCTCATCTCCTAAATGATTTTAGGGTTACTTCTGGGGTGGGGGTGGGAATGACACAGCAGAAATAAAAGCCCATTAAGGGAAAATTAGTTCCTTCTGGCCAAGAGGATAAAATCTCTGGCCTGAGTGGAGACCTAACGGTCCAGCTGGGTAGCGTCAATGACCCCACTGAGAGACCACCCCCCTAGGAAGGTGGGCTCACTTTAAGCCACACCACAGATATAAGCAGAATTATTCCTTTAATAAGATAATGTACTTCTCCTTTTCAGAATTACAGAGCCACGGTCACGTGACTGAAGTCTGACCTTTTTGTGTAACCTGTCCTTTTCTTCTATCTTTGTTCTAAGCATGCTTAACTCTTCCTCTAAAGCCTTCTCTCTGCCTTTCAGTGGCTTGTCTGCCACGCAGCTGACCTCTATGCTGGCTAAACTCAAATGCCACGGCTTTTGTCCCCTCCTCTCTGCTATTTGCCTCCTCCAGGCAGCTGCAAAGATTTACAGCTTGTCTACCCTGGGATTTTTCTTTTTAAACTCTAATAAGACTGTCCTTATGCTTCAAAATCATTATTTAAAAATCTCACTTAGGAAGTCTAGGATGGACTGTGGAAACTACACCTGCTCATTTCCCTTTCCAAGAGCCTTGCTGAAAATCAGGCCTTGCTGCTGCTAATACCTTACAAGTAAATAGCCTTAACCCTGGCCATCTTATTTTACTAGTCTAAACTAAAACCAAGGGAATTAGCAATGAAAAGCAGTACTGATGTGACCATGACAAACAGCCCAAGAAGCGGGGCTGGGACACAGTTTACTACATGCCTGTTTGGGAATTCAAATGTAGTAAGAACTATATAATGCCACTGTCTCACTTTCATGTGATAAATCTGTAACATGTTATAGCAACCCCTCCCCCCCACTAAATTAGAAACTTCATTATCTATAGAAATTGAAAGTTGGGGGCTGGGGAGATAGTTCAGTGGTTAAGAGTACTGGCTGCTCTTGCAGAGAACCTGGGTTCAAATCCCAGCACCCACATGGCAGCTAACCACTGTTCGTAACTCCATTTCCAGGGGATCCGACAGTCTCTTCTGTCCTCCTCGGGCATTGCACGACATGGGCGCACTTACCTACATGAGGCAATACAGGCATACACATAAAGTAAAAATAAATAAAATAAATCATTTTTAGAAAGAAAGAAATGGGTTCTTTCAGTTCATGGTTCTGGAAATTTCAGTCCAAGGCTGAGGTGTTTTTACTGCTTTTAGGCTCTGTTGAGCATGATGCTTCATGTTAGCGGCATGTGGAAGAGGAAATCTGTCACCTCCTGAGCCAAAAAGGAAGAAGAGACAGAACCTTGAAGGACAGGCTTTAAGTGATCTAAGGACTTCCAGAAGGTTCTACTTCCTCAGTAAGGCCCCTCCCAGCACCCACATGGCAGCTAACCACTGTTCGTAACTCCACTTCCAGGGGATTCAACACACTCTTCTGATCTCCTCGGGCATTGCATGACACAGGTGCACTTACGTACATGCAGGCACAACACTCATACACATAAAATAAATAAATATTTTTAAAAAGAAATAGAAAGTTGGAAGCTT